ATCATACAGGGAGAAGTGTTAGTAAGTACTGCTCCCAAAAATTTACTATCATACAAGAGTCCTTCATATTCAAGTCCAGAGCGAGTCAGAGCAGAAGCTGCGGTAAACAGCACAGAGGTTCATTCACGTCAGCGTGACGCTAGAAGAGGATGTCTTCATTCTTGATGAGTAACTCCAGCACCTGTCTCTGGTAGCGGATGTCGTTCAGAGCCGTCATGGCGTCCAGATCGGGCGCCCGCATTAAAGTCGGCCCGAAGACAATCCCGAGATTCTCAGCGTTCATCAGGTTATCCTTCTCGTTCTGAGTTACCCTGCAGACACACACACACACACACACACACACACACGCACACACACACGTAAATGAAAATGAATTTTAATGGTAATTTTAACAGGAATAGTAAAAAAAAAAGAAAAATTGGTTAACGTCAAGTTCATTAAAGTTTGTGAATATTGTACAAAACTGTAATAGATCTAAATGGGAAATTTGTGCAAGGTTTATAGTAAAACACTAATACGTACATATTTTGTAAGTAAAAAACAGTCATATAATTTACAGTATAAAATGCAAACTGACATTCCCACAGTTCCCTGCGTGACACTACATTTGATGTTTTTTCCCCCCTGCCTTATTAGTTCTGTACATAGGGTTTTATGTTACATCTTATGTTGTTTTTTTGCATTATATTATTGTGATGTATGTTACCATGATGGTGTTTTGTATTTGTGTGAATCACACTGTACTGCTTCTATATATTAGTATTTACCTCCTCAGCTTATGGAAAAGCTGCTTGTGATGAACTCATCGTGAATTCAAACAGTCTCTTTTACTTCCTGTATTATGACGGTGCTTTAGATGGACAAGTCCCTCCCAATAATTAGAAATGACCAAACCGTCGCCCGCATTATCGGATATTCTTGCACTTACCTGCAGCACTCCATAATTCAGCGCTGTTTTTTTAGGATGACAAGTAGGTTTAAAAATCTAACAGCCCTCGTCAGAGTCAAAATATCTGAGCTGGCCAATCAGAGCAAAGTAGGCGGGGTTTACTGTTCACAGAAACAGAGTGCAAAAGCGTCAGCTTAAAGCCCTGTTCACACCAAGAACAATAACTATAAAGATAACGATATTAGTGTCCACACCAGCGAACGATATCGTCTGTTCATTCTAAGCGCACATGCGTCTGCCGCAAAGATAACTATAAAGATAACGATATTAGCGTCCACATCAGCAAACGATATCGTCTGTTCATTCTAAGCGCACATTCGTCTGCCGCAAAGATAACTATAAAGATAACTATAAAGATAACTATAAAGATAACTATAAAGATAACTATAAAGATAACTATAAAGATAACTATAAAGATAACTATAAAGATAACTATAAAGATAACTATAAAGATAACTATAAAGATAACTATAAAGATAACTATAAAGATAACTATAAAGATAACTATAAAGATAACTATAAAGATAACTATAAAGATAACTATAAAGATAACTATAAAGATAACTATAAAGATAACTATAAAGATAACTATAAAGATAACTATAAAGATAACTATAAAGATAACTATAAAGATAACTATAAAGATAACTATAAAGATAACTATAAAGATAACTATAAAGATAACTATAAAGATAACTATAAAGATAACTATAAAGATAACTATAAAGATAACTATAAAGATAACTATAAAGATAACTATAAAGATAACTATAAAGATAACTATAAAGATAACTATAAAGATAACTATAAAGATAACTATAAAGATAACTATAAAGATAACTATAAAGATAACTATAAAGATAACTATAAAGATAACTATAAAGATAACTATAAAGATAACTATAAAGATAACTATAAAGATAACTATAAAGATAACTATAAAGATAACTATAAAGATAACTATAAAGATAACTATAAAGATAACTATAAAGATAACTATAAAGATAACTATAAAGATAACTATAAAGATAACTATAAAGATAACTATAAAGATAACTATAAAGATAACTATAAAGATAACTATAAAGATAACTATAAAGATAACTATAAAGATAACTATAAAGATAACTATAAAGATAACTATAAAGATAACTATAAAGATAACTATAAAGATAACTATAAAGATAACTATAAAGATAACTATAAAGATAACTATAAAGATAACTATAAAGATAACTATAAAGATAACTATAAAGATAACTATAAAGATAACTATAAAGATAACTATAAAGATAACTATAAAGATAACTATAAAGATAACTATAAAGATAACTATAAAGATAACTATAAAGATAACTATAAAGATAACTATAAAGATAACTATAAAGATAACTATAAAGATAACTATAAAGATAACTATAAAGATAACTATAAAGATAACTATAAAGATAACTATAAAGATAACTATAAAGATAACTATAAAGATAACTATAAAGATAACTATAAAGATAACTATAAAGATAACTATAAAGATAACTATAAAGATAACTATAAAGATAACTATAAAGATAACTATAAAGATAACTATAAAGATAACTATAAAGATAACTATAAAGATAACTATAAAGATAACTATAAAGATAACTATAAAGATAACTATAAAGATAACTATAAAGATAACTATAAAGATAACTATAAAGATAACTATAAAGATAACTATAAAGATAACTATAAAGATAACTATAAAGATAACTATAAAGATAACTATAAAGATAACTATAAAGATAACTATAAAGATAACTATAAAGATAACTATAAAGATAACTATAAAGATAACTATAAAGATAACTATAAAGATAACTATAAAGATAACTATAAAGATAACTATAAAGATAACTATAAAGATAACTATAAAGATAACTATAAAGATAACTATAAAGATAACTATAAAGATAACTATAAAGATAACTATAAAGATAACTATAAAGATAACTATAAAGATAACTATAAAGATAACTATAAAGATAACTATAAAGATAACTATAAAGATAACTATAAAGATAACTATAAAGATAACTATAAAGATAACTATAAAGATAACTATAAAGATAACTATAAAGATAACTATAAAGATAACTATAAAGATAACTATAAAGATAACTATAAAGATAACTATAAAGATAACTATAAAGATAACTATAAAGATAACTATAAAGATAACTATAAAGATAACTATAAAGATAACTATAAAGATAACTATAAAGATAACTATAAAGATAACTATAAAGATAACTATAAAGATAACTATAAAGATAACTATAAAGATAACTATAAAGATAACTATAAAGATAACTATAAAGATAACTATAAAGATAACTATAAAGATAACTATAAAGATAACTATAAAGATAACTATAAAGATAACTATAAAGATAACTATAAAGATAACTATAAAGATAACTATAAAGATAACTATAAAGATAACTATAAAGATAACTATAAAGATAACTATAAAGATAACTATAAAGATAACTATAAAGATAACTATAAAGATAACTATAAAGATAACTATAAAGATAACTATAAAGATAACTATAAAGATAACTATAAAGATAACTATAAAGATAACTATAAAGATAACTATAAAGATAACTATAAAGATAACTATAAAGATAACTATAAAGATAACTATAAAGATAACTATAAAGATAACTATAAAGATAACTATAAAGATAACTATAAAGATAACTATAAAGATAACTATAAAGATAACTATAAAGATAACTATAAAGATAACTATAAAGATAACTATAAAGATAACTATAAAGATAACTATAAAGATAACTATAAAGATAACTATAAAGATAACTATAAAGATAACTATAAAGATAACTATAAAGATAACTATAAAGATAACTATAAAGATAACTATAAAGATAACTATAAAGATAACTATAAAGATAACTATAAAGATAACTATAAAGATAACTATAAAGATAACTATAAAGATAACTATAAAGATAACTATAAAGATAACTATAAAGATAACTATAAAGATAACTATAAAGATAACTATAAAGATAACTATAAAGATAACTATAAAGATAACTATAAAGATAACTATAAAGATAACTATAAAGATAACTATAAAGATAACTATAAAGATAACTATAAAGATAACTATAAAGATAACTATAAAGATAACTATAAAGATAACTATAAAGATAACTATAAAGATAACTATAAAGATAACTATAAAGATAACTATAAAGATAACTATAAAGATAACTATAAAGATAACTATAAAGATAACTATAAAGATAACTATAAAGATAACTATAAAGATAACTATAAAGATAACTATAAAGATAACTATAAAGATAACTATAAAGATAACTATAAAGATAACTATAAAGATAACTATAAAGATAACTATAAAGATAACTATAAAGATAACTATAAAGATAACTATAAAGATAACTATAAAGATAACTATAAAGATAACTATAAAGATAACTATAAAGATAACTATAAAGATAACTATAAAGATAACTATAAAGATAACTATAAAGATAACTATAAAGATAACTATAAAGATAACTATAAAGATAACTATAAAGATAACTATAAAGATAACTATAAAGATAACTATAAAGATAACTATAAAGATAACTATAAAGATAACTATAAAGATAACTATAAAGATAACTATAAAGATAACTATAAAGATAACTATAAAGATAACTATAAAGATAACTATAAAGATAACTATAAAGATAACTATAAAGATAACTATAAAGATAACTATAAAGATAACTATAAAGATAACTATAAAGATAACTATAAAGATAACTATAAAGATAACTATAAAGATAACTATAAAGATAACTATAAAGATAACTATAAAGATAACTATAAAGATAACTATAAAGATAACTATAAAGATAACTATAAAGATAACTATAAAGATAACTATAAAGATAACTATAAAGATAACTATAAAGATAACTATAAAGATAACTATAAAGATAACTATAAAGATAACTATAAAGATAACTATAAAGATAACTATAAAGATAACTATAAAGATAACTATAAAGATAACTATAAAGATAACTATAAAGATAACTATAAAGATAACTATAAAGATAACTATAAAGATAACTATAAAGATAACTATAAAGATAACTATAAAGATAACTATAAAGATAACTATAAAGATAACTATAAAGATAACTATAAAGATAACTATAAAGATAACTATAAAGATAACTATAAAGATAACTATAAAGATAACTATAAAGATAACTATAAAGATAACTATAAAGATAACTATAAAGATAACTATAAAGATAACTATAA